AGAAGCTTCCCTCAAGCCTCCGGGAGGGCCAAAATGGCCTCCCCCAGGCTCCACAGGCTGAAAACAGGCACTTCCGGTATTTCCGGAAGGCCCGTTTTTCGGTCTCCTGAGGCTGCAGAGGCTTCCCTCAAGCCTCCGGGAGGGCCAAAATGGCCTTACACGGGCCGAAAATCATCTGGGAGGCATGCGCAGTGCAGGTAAGGGGGCAAGGTTGCACGGGGGTGGCAGGGCACCGTTGCATTGTGGGTGCCGGCACGTGCATGCTTTCGGCACGCCACCACAAAAAGGTTCTCCATCACTGGAATAGGGTAACACATTGTTCTGCCATTTTGCCCTTGCAGAGAAAAACGGAATCGGAGCGGGAGAATATTGTCTGGGAATGGAAAGAGCTACAAAGGTTTCTCCGAGATCAGGAAGAGCTCTTGTTAAGGCAGTTGGAAGAACTAGAGAAGGACATCATCACCAGGCGAGACGAGCACCTTTCCAGAAATGACCGTGGCAGAGCCAGCCGGGGGAAAGGAGAAAAAGAGCCTCTGTCAAAGGTGGTCAATTAAAACCCGCTTCCCAAAATGAAATGTGATTTTTTTTGTTTTTTTTTGGCCTTCTTGATTTTGACTTGGAAAGAGCAACCTGCTGCTTCTCAACGTATACGGGCAGTTGAGTTCAACATTTCTTTGGCTAAGCGAGACAGTTGTTGAGCTGAGTTTTGCTCCATTTTACGACCTTTCCTGCCACTGTTGTTAAATGAATCGCTGCAGTTGTGAAGTGAGTCACACAACGGCTCAGGGAATCCGGCTTCGCCGTTGGCTTTGCTTGTCAGAGGGTCGCGAAAACGGATCGCACGACCGTGCGGGACCCTTCGACCGTCATAAATGTGAACCAGTTGCAAAGTGTCCAAAGTATGGTCATGTGACTACGATGCCGCAGCGGTCATAAGTGTGAAAAATGGTCATAAGTCCCTCTTTTCAGTGCTGTTGTAACTTCAAAACGGTCACTAAATGAAGGTGTTAACTCATAAAATATTTCTGTGGTCTTTTAGGGTTGCCAACAGAAAGGGAGGGGGAAGCAGTGGGCAGCTTGCATTCCATAAATGTTTTCAAGAATAGTTTCTAGGTGACAGAAGTTTTTGCCGCGCAAAATTCTAACTGGAGAGCATGATTGATGACTCTGGGCTATGGATGTGTCCCATTGGAGAATATGAATTATGATGTACCCAGGAAGTGGGGGAAAACCAGGTCAAGAGTGAGAATGAATGATGTGTCTCAGAGTCGTCTACATTCAGGCAGCGCCGGCATGTTTACTCCTAATAAATCTTTATGTTTGAAAATCTGGCTAGAGACTCATGATTTAAATGGAGGTAACTACCGGAGCCCTGACAGAAGGGTTGTAAGTTAAGGACCTCTGGGCTGCTTATAAAAATGATCAAAATAATCCTTAAGAGACAGCATTTAGCCAACTATGTCTGACTTCAGAGACCTAAAGTAGAGTCAAGCTGACAGGCAGTCCTCGACTTACAACAGTTCATTTAGTGGCCGTTCGAAGTTACAACAGCGCCGAAAAAAGTGACTTATGGCCATTTTTTCACACTTACGACCGTTGCAGCATCCCCATGGTCACGTGATCAAAATTCAAACGCTTGGCCATTGACTCATATTTATGACGGTTGCCCCTTCAGACCAGCAAAGTCAATGGGGAAGCCAAATTCACTTAACAACTATGTTACTCACTGTCAGGATTCCAACAATCTCTCTAATTAAATCATGATTCTCGAGCCAAACTTCAAAAGATTCATTAGAGGCAACATACTGGCACTGCCCTGTAAGAAGCCAACTCTGGCATACGTAATTTACAGCCTGTGACCCTGTTTCCCCCTCCCCCTGGGTGTTTCATAATTCATATTCTCCAATGGGACACATCCATAGCCAAGAGTCATCAATCATGCTCTCCAGTTAGATTTTTGCACGGCAGAAACTTCGGTCACTTAGAAACTATCTTTGAAAACATTTATGGAATGCAAGCTGCCCACGGCTTCCCCGTCCCTTTCTGTTGGCAACTCTAAACAGACCACAGAAATATTTTATGAGTTAACACCTTCATTTAGTGACCGTTTTGTCTCATAAACCCAGATTCTCCAATTGAGGACGTTCACGGGCTGGGTGTCATCATTCACGTTCTCCAATGAAATATATTTGTGGGCAAAAACTCTGGTATTTTATTTAAAGTCTTTTAAAGATAAGAGTTGGAATGTACTTTCGCTTTCAAACTGCTCTTCCGATTTCCTTCCTCCCCTCCCCCCCTTCCCTATGGCAACTACTAAAACAGGCATAGGAATGTTTTATGAGTTGGCACTCACTTAACAACTGCAGTGATTCACTGAACAACTGTGGCAAGAGAGGTGGTAAGGCCCTATTGCGGTCGTAAGTCGAGGACTACCTGTATATGTCTACTAATCAAAATGAGTTGAGTGGAACATTGTCGGGAAAATGTTTTGAAAATTATTGGATTTAATTCGTTAATGATGTGAATAATCAATCACACTGCATCTGTGGCCACTTTAATTAAAACCATTTCTATGTTTGTATCAAGTGTTCACTTGCACTTAAAGAGGAAAATGATTAATGCTGTTTAGTAATTTCTTTTAGGGGAAATGGTTACAGAAGAAAAGAATCTGAATTATTCCCAGAAGTCTTATCATGCCTGATACATTTTTCTTTCTGTTTTCTTCCTTCCTTCCTTTCTTTTTGCTGCAGAATCTCAGAAGGGCAACCAAAGGGTATGTTTATATAATTAGAGTTTAGAACTAATTTTATTGTCACTTTAAATGTACATTAATGTTTATATAATTGTGTCGGTGGGTTGTATTCATTGAATTGAATTGAATAGAAATTGAATTGAATTGAATAGAATAGAAATTGAATAGAATTAGAATAGAATAGAACAGAACAGAACAGAATAGAATAGAATAGAATAGAATAGAATAGAATAGAATAGAATAGAATAGAATAGAATAGAATAGAATAGAATTCTTTATTGGCCAAGTGCGATTAGACACGCAAATCATTTCTCTTGGTGCAAATGCTCTCAGTGTACATAAAAGAAAAGATACATTCATTATGAGTCAAGAATCAAGGTACAACACTTAATAATAGTCATAGGGTACAATAAGCAATCAAATCATACTAGGAAACAGTCAGTATAAATCGTAAGGATACAAGTGTCAAAGTTACAGTCATACAGTCACAAGTGGGAGGGGATGGGTGATGAGTGATGAGAAGATTAATAGTAATAGTAATGCAGACTTTGTAAATAGTTTGACAGTGTTGTGGGAATTATTTGTTTAGCAGAGTGACGGCATTCGGGGGGAAAACTGTTCTTGTGTCTACTTGTTCTCGTATGCAGTACTCGATAGCATCGTTTTGAGGGAAGGAGTTGAAACAGTTTTATGTCCGGGATGTGAGAGGGCTGTGAATATTTTCACAGTCCTCTTTTTGACTCCTGCAGTGTACAGGTCCTCAATGGAAGGGAGGTTGGTAGTAATTGTTTTTTCTGCAGTCCTAATTATCCTCTGAAGTCTGTGTTTTTCCTGTTGGGCTGCAGAACCAAACCAGACAGTTACAGAGGTGCAGATGACAGACTCAATAATTCCTCTGTAGAACTGGATCAGCAGCTCCTTGGGCAGTTTGAGCTTTGTGAATTGGAACAGAAAGAACAATCTTTGTTGTGCTTTTTTGATGATGTTTTTGTTGTTAGGTGTCCATTTTAGGTCATGTGATATGGTAGAACCTAGAAATTTGAAGGTCTCTACTGTTGATACTGTGTTGTCTAGTATTGTAAGAGGTGGTAGTATGGGAGGGTTGACCTCGGAATGATTCCTTAACTCTTGTGCCCGTATAATTTGCATTGATTATATTCGTCTGTTTTTAATGGCATTCTTTTTTTTCATTGTATTGTTAGCAACCAGGATAGGAAAGCATGTAAATTTCATAAATCAATAAAAGGGAGGTAAGAAGGAAGTTTGACAGGCCGAAAAAAATGGTCAGTATCAAATTCTGTCCAGAGTCTTTGCTGTGAAAATGGGCAGCCATTTTTATCATATGAACAGACAAATTGGTGTCGCCTGAGGGAAACAAAGAATAATATAATATAGCTCATCTTTATTGTATTTTTTTTATTTGATTCCTAATAGAAAGCAGCCAAGAGTCTGAATTTTGATTATGTGAACATGGGGGATGCTGCAATGGTTATATAAGTGCAAAAAAACGGTCATAAGTCACTTTTTCCGGTGGCGTTGTAACTTCAAATGGCCACTAAACGAACAGTTGTAAATTGAGACCTGCCTGTATTCTTTTGGCAAAAAGCTTCTTTGTGCTTGCGTATGGAATGTTACTGTGTGATGAATCCACTACAGGTAGTCCTCGGCTGAGTTCATTTAGTGACCGTTCAAAGCTACAACAGCCCCGAAAAATGTGACTTACGATCATTTCCCACAGTTATGACCTTTGCAGCATCCACATGGTCACAGGATCGAAATTCAGATGCTAGGCAACTGATTCATATTTATGACCGTTGCTGTGTCCCAAGGTCATGGGTTCACCATCTACCACCTTCCAACAAGCGAGGTCAATGGGAAGCCAAATTTAATTTTATTGGGTTGCTAACTTATCGACTGCAGCGATTCATTTCACAGCTGTGGTAAGAAAGGTCGTAAAATGGAGCAAAACTTACTTAACCAATGTCTCACTTAATAACAGAAGTGTTGTGGCCCGCTAGAGGAGCTGGCAGTAGACTTGGACAGTGAGGAGTTTGGTGTCATGCCTTTGGTAGAATCGGACTCTGAGGGAGCGGAGGAACAGCCGACAGGGAGTGGAGGTGTGGCTCCGGAGGTTGTGGAGGAGGCTGGGGAAGGGCAGAGGCCAGCTGGGCAGTCAGAGGAAGAACCAGGCCCATCCCCTCTTCATCCAAGGACACACAGGGAGGAAGGGAGAAGGAAACAACTTGGCTTACGAGAGAGGAAGCGGCCATGATCCCCCTCTGGTTGCAGCTGGGGAGAATAGTATATAAGACTGTTAAAACACAGGGTTGCCAGAAGCAAAGCGTGTGTTATTTGGGCTGAAGTTATCTTGGTTGGCATCCTTCCAACAGACTGTGCCTTGTTATCTCCTTGAAGTTGGTAATTACTTATGCTGGTCTGTTGTGGAAATTTCTTCATTGTAGTTTGTTTTGGTTTTTTATTTCACCTCTATCTGCTCATTAAGTTTGGACTGTATTGCTTTCTTTTGAAGAATATTTTTGAGTACATTTTATCTCCAACTGAGAATTATTGAACAGTGGGGCCAAGTTGGAGGCATTAAAGGACATTTATTTACATTTTGGATTTTGTTACGTTTGTGTTACACTCCGGGTCATCACAGTTGGGGAGGAACATGGGCCAGTCCTGGAGTCTGGGGAAGGCTCAGACGAGTACCCTGAGTCAGGGCAGAGATGGGGCCAGGGCCTTCCGACAGTTATCAGCTGCCTTTGGAGTTGGAGATCAGTGAGGCAGAAGAGCAGCTGGAGCCTGTTCCCAATGTGCTCATGTGCAGAGCTGCCAGGAGAAGGGAACAGTTAAAGAACAAAGGTCGACTCGGGAGTAAAGGCTCAGGTAGACGATGAATGGCCTCTCTCATAGGGAATAAAGAGGAACGAAAGGGGAGTGGTGTTTGCAGGAGACAATTAGTTTAATTTATTAGAGTGAAGATCTGTTCCTGACTTCTTGCCAAGTAATTGCTGCTACAGTGTGGTGTTTTGAAGATACCGTTCTGGCAACTCTCCAAGCCTGATCAAGGCCTGTAGTTGTGAAATCTCATGAAAGACTGTTTGCCGGGACTCTTCCTGCTGGAGAGGAATTCCCTGTATAACCTAAATAAAAGGGGTTTTATTGGGATGAGGAGGACGATCTTCATGATCTTGGGAAACCTAGGTCAGAACAAGACGTTTGGGGCTCGGTTGAGGTTGTAAGTTGAGTACCACCTGTATAGGAGGGCTGATTTCAGCTTATGACAAGAGAAAGTATCAAAATAGGCAAGAAATGACAACTAGGGAATCGGTCCTAGATTGAAATCGGGTATAAAGACCGTTGTTTAAATCCGAAAAGGCTCTTATTTCCGCCCCCTTTTCCTCTTTTTAATCAGCAGGAAGAATGGGGTATTTTCTAAATGTCAGAGAGACTTCATGGAGGTGGAGTGCAGGTTCAACCGCTTTTTGAGAAAGAGGATTGAACTAAGAGAAGTTTTATGTACATTTAAAGGTGAGTTCAGACCGTCAGTGGAGATGTTGGTCTAGGACAGTGGTGGCTAACCTTTTGGGACTCCAGTGCCAAAAATTGCGCGCGCAATTTCCCCCACCCCCCCTGCCGCTGCCCCCTCCCAGCTGACTTTCAGCCTGTTTGAGGCCTTTTTCGGCCTCCCAGAGGCTTGAGAAAAGACTATGCAGGCCGAAAAATAGGCCTGTTTTGTCATTTCCAGTATTTCTGGAAATACAGGAAGTGACAAAACTGGCCTATTTTTCGGCCTGCAAAGGTTTTCCTCAAGCCTCTGGGAGGCCGAGAAAGGCCTCAAACAGGCCAAAAATCAGCTGGGAGGCGCGCGCATGCGCAGTGAGGTAAGTTTGCCTGCCGTTCGCGTGCCAACACAAATGGCTCTGCGTGCCACCTGTGGGATGCATGTCATAGGTTCGCCATCACAGGTCTCGGAGCAAAAAGATCCTGGTTGGGTCCCTTCGCAGCCACAGAAACCCCGGGAGGAATTGGGGGCCAGCCCCTCCCTTTCAGTCCAAAATTCAGGGTTGGGGAGAGAGGAAGGGGGTTGGAGTAAGAGTGGGGAAATCCAGGTTTTGGTTCCCCCCTCAGCCATTGAAGCTGCAGACAGGATTAGGTCTACTTCCCTCATCTAAGCCTGTTCTGTCCCAGCTCTCCAAACACCGCAAACCCTCTGAGGAAAAAATCAAAAGATTCCTTTATTAGGAATGCTGGCAGCGCCGACAGAAAGTTTTTCTTGCAGGCTAACAAGTCCGTCCAGCCGAAAGATGAGTAGTTGTCTGCCCAGGGGTGGGCTTCAAAAATTTTAGCAACGGGTTCTCTGCCCGGTTGCTGCATGGACGGTCACTAAACGAACTGTTGTCAGTCAAGGATTACCTATAATCCCTGGTGGGCTTAAAATGGAGGGCCGTGGTTCTTATCTCTCTCCTCTTATCTCTCTCCCCTTTCAGAATTGCTGAAGCTGGAAATGGAGGAAGAGGCAGATGAATATGTTTTACCAGGTAAAACTACAGTATATTAAACTACTTTTTAAAAATATATTTTTTCTTTCTTGTCTTGGTTGTGCTGCTATAACTAAGTCAGAACATGAAAAGTGCCAGGTGAAGAGTTCCAGAAAAATCCCCACCCCCAAAAAATGTTCAAGGCTGGATATTTCAGAACCATCTCTTTCTTTTGGGGTAATCAAACCCTTCTAGAACCTGAAGTTACTTATGCTATTCCAGATACAGCTTGGCTTCAATGAAGCATTTATAGACCTTTCTTTATAAGAGCCGTGGTGGCGCAGTGGTTAGAATGCAGTACTTGCAGGCTACTTCTGCTGCCTGCCGGCTGCCTGCAGTTGGCAGTTCAAATCTCACCAGGCTCAAGTTGACTCAGGCTTCCATCCTCCCAAGGTGGGTAAAATGAGGACCCAGATTGTTGGGGGCAAGAGGCTGACTCTGTAAACCGCTTAGAGAGGGCTGTGAAGCACTGTAAAGCGGTATATAAGTCTAAGTGCTTATTGCTATGGCTATTTCTGTGTCAGGAATCGTCTCGAGAATCTGCTGAAATTTGAGGGCCCCCTCCTCAGAGAAAATCTATTTAAAAGGCACAAAGTAAAATACACAGATATTGTGTTTATTTATTTATTTTAGGAAATGTATATTGCCGCCTATTTGCACATGGCCACTCAAGGCGGCTTACAGGAATATTAAAACCTCATATATAAAAGAATAAAACTAATAAAAGAGAATAATATCATAATAAAATAATATAATAAAATAACACACACACACACACCCTCCCCCGGCGGCAACAGATCACATGAGCCACTTAATGGGCTTCACCCCTCTCTTCGTTCCCTAGGCCCGCTGGCAGAACCAGGTCTTCAGCACCTTCCGGAAGAGTGTTAGAGTGGAGGCCATTCCAATCTCTGAGGGGATGATGTACCAGAGAAAGGAAGCCACCACAGACAAGGCCCTTCTTCTGGGTCCCACCAAGTGTATCTCCCTCGGGGATGGGACCCGGAACATTCCCTGCCTATCATGCCACTGTCAGAGTCTGAATCCGAGGAGGAAGACGAAAAGCTGACATTGGCTGTAGAGGAAACTGGCTGGGCAGAGCAGGGGAGAGGGAGAACAAGGGAGAGGGAATTCAGAGGAAGACCCAGGCCCATCCCCTCTTCATCCTAGGGCACGCAGGGAGGAATGGAGAAGAGAGCAACGTGGGTTGCGTGGCTTACGGGGAAGGAAAGGGCCCTGATTCCCTTCATCTACCCCTCTCCCCTGCTCTGCCCAGCCGGACTTGGCCCTTCCCTAGTTTCCTCCACAACCAATGGAGCCACACCCCCACTCCCTGTCATCTGTTTGTCTTTCTCCTCGGATTCAGACTCCGACAGAGCCGTGACATTGCCTCCCCGCTCTGGTAGGTCGGGGAGATGTGACCGGCAAGAGGCAGTCCCTTAGATAACCCGGTCCCAAGCCACGAAGGTGACAACCAGCACTTTAAATTGTACCCGGAAACAAATCGGCAACCAAAGCAGCTCCCACAGGAGAGGTGATATACATGTGCACACTGAGGCCTGCACAAAACCATGTATTAAGTGTAATAATTCTAGACGACAGGGTATACATTGTGTTAGAAAGGAGACCAATTCTGCTCAAATCCAGTTACCAACGCATTTAAATATTGGAAGTATGTGTTTTAACGGATCTATGAATCCATTAATTCCCTAAGAAAACAATACCCTTTTTAAATGTGTAATAATCCTAGACAATGAGATTTATTGAAGTTAACTTTTGGGGCCATTAACCTCTTCGTTGCCTACATACCTTATCAAATGAAAGGGTACAGAGGCTAGTGAAAAATAAAAGTTGCGAAATTTTGTTTAGATCCTTTGTTTTTCAATCTTGGCAACTTCAAGACGGGTGGACTTCAACTCCCAGAATTCCCCAGCCAGCTGGCTGGGGAATTCTGGGAGTTGAAGTCCACCCATCTTAAAAAACGGCTAGGTTGAGAAATACTGGTTTAGGTGGAATGGTGAGGATGGTACTTTCATTCAGGGCTGGGCTACTGGGGGTTCGCGAGAGCCCCAGATGAGATTCTGTGCCGTTCAGAGAACCCCCAAATCCCACTCCTGGCTGTCCCTGCCCACCCCACCCCGTCCCTCCCAGGAGTCCCCACACGGCCTGTTTTGGATGCAGGTAAGTGAAAGGTGCGCACACAGGCTTGGGGAGGGTGAAAAACGGGCCTCCTGGAAGTTTGAGAAGGCCGGAAATGGGCCCGTTTCTGACTTCCGGAGCCCAGGGAGGCTGTTTTTTTCCCTCCCGGAGGTGCGAGCAAAACCTCCGGAGCCCGGGAAGGGCAAAAACGCCCCACTCCCAGTGATGCAGGAGGACGACTGCAACCGTGCAGAGAACCTGTTGCTAAAAATTTCGAAGCCCACCCCTGCGTTCATTTCCTGTTATATCATTCTTTTTCGCCTGGGCTGTTTCTTTTGTGATTGTTAATACTTTACCCCCCCCAGCCCCCCCCCCCCCAAAAAAACATTTGAGAGTTTCTGACTCTTTTTGGTGGGGTGGGGGTCTTTCCTATCCCTGCGTTGCAATGGGATGCTCCTGGACGGATGAGTTGCCGAGTGAAACTGACAGATAAATGGCCCGAATTTCTGAAGAATATTTTCTGCTTTTCCCTCAGGAGCCCAAAAAAAATCCACGGGGTACTTCCGCTTTCTCCAATCCTGCAGAAGGACTGGAAGGGAGCTGGCTTTGACCCAGCAGACTCAGGTGAGGGACATTCCAGGTGAGGAAGGGGAGGATTGTGAAGAAGGAATATTGGGGTGGCTGGCAGATTTTCTAGAGGGGTGACTTTCTCAGGGTTGTGCAAAATCAAAATTGCAGGTGGTCTTTGACTCGCAACAATTCATTTAGGTCAACACTTCTTTACTCTCCTAACATCGGGTAGGAGATACAGAAGCACAGCCAGCCGAACGAATAGGCTGAAAAATAGCTTTTATATGTGGGCTGTCAGACTTCTGAATGCAATCTAACACCACAATTAGGTTTAATATGATAGACTTGCAAGGCCAGTGCAACGTGCAACATGTTCATACCGGTGTAATATAATATAATGTTACATATTGTTCCGACCAAGGCTTATTGAGACACTAACAAACACGTTAGTCCCCAAACCCTTTTTTTCTTTATTTCAACGGCTGTGAATTTTAGTCATTCACAGCCCGTAATGAGTCTCCAACAGTTTGTAAATAATCCCGTGGAAGCCTGCCAAAGTCCTCCAGGATAAGTCTGAGAAGCACGCACCTTTCTTTATCTTCCGTGAAATGCTGCCAACGGCTAAATTTCTAATTAGTTATACAAGGCCAACCAGAGCACCAATTCAACACAGAGCTTCAGGTTTCAAACCGACAAGTACGAACAAAGTTGCTTCCTGCAAAGGTTTCCGTCCCTTTGCTCCTCCTTTATCTCTTATAGGAGGGGCCAATCATATCCAAACTTAACTCCCGAGTCGCTCCTTTTGTCTTAAATTGTTTTTGCCTTCTGGCAGCTCTGCCCATGCGCACATTGGGAACAGGCTCCCCTTGTTCCTCTGCCTCGCTGCTGCCAGATTCTGGGGGCTCTGGAGTCAGCACATAACTCCCAGATGGCCCTGGCCCCATCTCTGTATCGGACGCAGGACCCTCGTCCGAGTCCTCCCCAGACTCCAGGACTGTTCCCTGTTCCTCCCCACTGTCCAACTCTGCTGCCATCTCCGTAGGCTGCTGGCGGACCACAACACAAATAGGTGTATGGGAATGTGTGTTAGTTATGACTTATTTGGGTTTAGGGATTTCTATTTCTTTCATTTATTATTAAGATGTATTTTGTGTTTCGGGAGGGGCTGCACCAAGGGAGGCTCATTTCAATTTCATGGTACACATGTTGTGCGTTGACAATAAAGGTTTGATTCGATTCGATTTCGTGACCGCTCGAAGTTACAACGGCACTGAATGAAAAAAGTGACTTAACGCCCATAGGACCGTTGCAGCATCCCCAGGGTCACGTGCTCCGAATTTGGATGGAATGGAAAGGTGGTTTTGTTTTATGTTTTATGTTTGTATTTGTTAATGTTTGTTGATAAAATAAATTAAAAAAAAACCTTTAAAAAAAAGAATTTGGATGCTTGGCAGCTGACTCATACTTATGACGGTTGCAGTGTCCCAGGGCCACGTGATCAGCTTTTGCAACCTTCTCACAAGCAGAGTCAGTGGGGCAGCCAGGTTCACTTAACAACCGTGTGATTAACTTAACAACCTCAGCGATTCACTTAACAGCTGAGGCAAGAAAAGTCTGAAAATGTTTGGCTTAGCAACATAAATTTTGGGGTCAATTGTGGTTGTAACT